GACATCTGCCCCAGACTTCTTCTAGCAGGAAGACTCTGAAACACCCCAGACACCATAAAAGCAGACCACAAGATTCTGGTGAAGCCCTAGAACGCGGGACAGAGAGCAGCCCCAGCCTCACGGTCACCTTGTCTCAATCTCAGATGTCCTCAGCCATCTCTTCCAATGATCCCAAGGAACCTTGGCCATCATCTGCCAGATCTCTCTCCTTCACTCATGTTGACAACGTCCATCAACCACAACCACGTGCCGTGCCAAGAGAACCACTCTTCAGCACCTCTTAGTAGGATACTTGACCTACTGGCAGCGTTGCTAACACGCTCTGCATTCCCTTCCTAAATGTGAGCCCAATCTCCACCCGGTCCACACAGTAGCCATCACTTTTCCAACCCTCCATCCTGAAACCTTCACCCAGTTTCCCAAACTTTGCTGTCCAGCTCCCTACTTGATTCCATGACTCACTCTTCTCTGACACATCTGAGACTGTAAACAATTCAGCCCATCACAAAGGTTTTGGGTTATAATGCAAATTAACACAAAAGCTGAATTATTTATATATATGTATGTCGATATTATTTATTTATTTGCAATTATCCTCTCAGACAGAACAAGTTTGGGATGTGCAATCTACTCGTTCCCTCATGTGGGGAGAGCCCAATCCTGCTTTCAAACCACCCCTTAGAGTGCACACAATGTACAAGATTAAACTAAACCAAGATGGCGTTTACTAATGCATCAACCAGAGCAACACGTGGGACACAATTCCTGTGTGGTGACCTGGGAGCTAGAGTCATCAAAGGAGAGTGAGACCAATAACATCCCCATGGGATTTAGTCTTCCTGTGTAAGTCACCACCCAGAACTCAGATCACCCACTGTGGAACAACATTGGGTCACATCCATGCCCTAATTTAGAACAGAATGAGGAGTTCCAATTACCCATAATTTAGATGCACAAACGAGAAAGCAGACAGGTCAGCATCATTAACTATGTTGGGGTGGTGACTTATGCACACTATGGGAACTGCCAGGTGGCAGAGGTGAAAGGACTTCTGCCACAGACACTGACAGGGACTTCCATCGTGCAATGACTGCATGCACATCAGAAAGCACAATGCAGGTTCTGAATTTTTCTGAAAATAGCTGGAACTTATGGGAAGTCACTCCACTGCAGACATTCAGGTGAATCACGTTCCAGTCAGGTAGGTAGCTGCCTCACAGAGGTTGTCCTCCAGCCTCAACTATGCTAAGCAAGGAAGTATCACCTTCTGTGCTATTTTAAATCCTTCCTGCAGTGTGAAGACTGGAATGGTATCTAAAACCACTATGACTGATAAAAGATTTCCCACATTCACGGCACTCTAAGGCCTTTCTCCAGTGTGAAGTCTCTGGTGACGATGGAGGGCAGAACTAGCAGTAAATGATTTCCCACATTCATTACACTCATAGGGCCGTTTACCTGAGTGAACCTTTTTGTGTACACTGAGGCTATCTTTTCGGGGAAAGGATTTACCACATTCACTGCATTCGTAAGGCCTCTCTCCACTGTGAACTCTCTGGTGAGCACGATGTTGATTACTAGTGATAAAAGATTTGCCACATTCACTGCACTTATAAGGCTTTTGTCCAGTGTGAAGTCTCTGGTGATATCG